CCCCCTTGCATAGTAATTACCTGCATATATAATGTGCGGCCCCCTTGCATAGTAATTACCTGCATATATAATGATGCGGCCCCCTTGCGGCCCCCTGCGGCCCCCTGAAAATAAGGGTCGAACGGTACCTATATTACTACTGGGGCTAATGGGACTCGGATTCCCTGCAATGAATGGGTAGGAATAAAACTTTAGACTACCGGATGATGCGACAAGTGAAATTTCAGTACCATTCTTAGTTATCAGCGAAAAACTTAGCATTCCAATTATAGGTTATAACTTAATCGAACTGTTTATTAAGGATAATAATCCCGAACAGGCGCTACCAGCTGTAACGAGAAGTTTTGTTAAAACCGATGGAAACGTTCTGATTAACTTTATTCGAAGTGTCACTAGTGAAAGTCTATGTGCCGTAAGAAACTAAAAGAAAAATGTTATTATTCCAAAAGGCGAGTCAGTTAGTGTGTCGTGCCGCGCTAACATTGGTATACGGTGCAACGTGATAGCCCAGTGCTATTTGAGCCGAACGAAGAAGCCTATTGGCCTTCTGGTCTGACAATCCAGGAAACTCTAACCACCATCAAAATGGGAAAGTCCAGCATTATAGATATCCCATTCTCAAATACTACTAGACGTGATATTGTTTTTCCCAAGCGCTTAGAACTTGTCGTCGTCAGTTAGTACGTTCTGTAACTCCGCTAGAAGTTAAATTAAGCGATGAGGGCACGGAATACCAGGAGGACAGTCCTGCTGATAAGTCGAAAACAATTGCAAGTTGTAAATCAAATTCGAATGGACCCAAAGAATCTAAAGTTTCTGAAGTAGACTTGAGTGATTTGACAACCGAACAACAACGACAAGCAAGAGAAATATTATGCCGGGAAGCGGACGCCTTTGCACAAGATGACGTAGATATCGGGTGTATCAATTTGCAAATGAAAATCAACCTGACGGACCATGAAGCAGTACAGAAGAATTATCTTTCCATCCCACGACCGTTATACCCAGAGGTAAAAGCGTACATCGAGGACCTGCTAAATAGAAATTTCATGGGGAAATCAAGATCACCATATTCTAGCAGTGTGGGGTGTGTGCGAAAGAAGGATGGTGGAATGCGCTTATGCGTGGAATATAGAAGTTTGAGCAAGAAAACGGTTCCGGATCGTCACCCAATACCTCGTATACAAGAAACATTGGACAACCTTGGTGGGAACTGTACTATTCCACTCGTTTACTTGCTCGATTGCTTCTAAATTTATTGCTTTTTTTACAACCCAAAACTACTTAGCCCAATATATATTCCACATGTAACACAACTCCCGTGATGCTTCACTTAAATGATGTTTCCACTTTTAGTTCCTTGCTTTTCTTGAACTTCAAATGTCAAAACACTACATCCCTTCCTTTCTTCATTAAAGATTAACGCTAAATATAAATCATTAAATTAATGTTCGAATTCTAAAAGTTCAAAGTAAACGATGTCAATGTTAAATCTTAAACAGATATTCCTGTTCATTGTACTGTAATATCAAAATTGTCTCCACTACTTACTGTAGTGTACAGAGTTTATTTTTTCGTCTTCTCCACAATATAATTTTTCAGTTTATTGGGTAGCCTAATCACACGTTTAGGTCTGTCATATTCTGTGACAGTGTCAGGTTTTTCACTTAAATTAACACTAACTTCCTCACTAGCACTTGGCAAATCCAATTCATCTGGTGAATTGAACGGATTCACAAATGAACTGTCCCTTCGGTATACTTCTCCATCCTTTGATTGAAGCATAAGTTCATGTCCCTCTTTTGTCACCACTGAATATGGCTCGTTCTCGTAATTAGGAGCCAACTTTCCGGTTGTTTTAGCATTCTTTAACAAAACTTGATCACCAGGCGCTATTGGATTATTAGAGGCTGTGTTCTTGTAATCAGCGTAAGCTTTCCGGTTTAGTTTCTGGCTCCAATCACGCTCTTTTATTGCTTGATTTAGAATGCTGTCTTGGCGCCTTAACTCAGGAAGTTTCGTCTTCAATTCTCTCCCGAACATCAAATATGCTGGTGTCGCTCCAGTGTTGTGTGCTGCGATATGCTAAGAGGAATTTTGGTAATTCTTCTTGCCACTTCTTTCCCTCTGCTTTTGCTACTTTCAATGCTTTCAAAAGTGTTCGATTTTGCCGCTTTTGAGGCCATAGTGGTGGGGATTTTCTATGTTCTATTCCATTTTCCCGCAGGTATCTTCGAAATTCTTCAGACGCAATTTGAGGACCATTATCCGACTTTAGAGAGTGTGGAAAACCAAATCTCGCAAAGATATCAGATAGGGCAGCAAGCACCCTTCGAGTTGTTGTTGAACGCATAACAACGACTTCATAGAACCTACTATAGTAATCCACTGCTACTAACAAACTTTCTCCTGTGTGCATCGGACCCATCAGGTCTATGGCAATGTTTTGCCAAGGCCCCATAGGTGGTTCGGTTCTCATCATAGGTTCTGGAACACTGAATTGTCCGACAACTTGGCATCCACGACACGATTTGGACATTTTCTCAGCATCAACATCTAATTTTGGCCACCATACCTTTGTTCTCAAACGACTTTTTGTCTTTACGATGCCCTGGTGCCCCTCATGAGCGGACTTTAGGACTTTTTCTCGTAGACTTTGAGGTATTACAATTCTGTCTCCGCGAAGCACCAGCTTCCCAATCACACACAGTTCATTCTTTACACAAAGATAACTTGGCATCTTACAATCCAATCGCCCGTTTGAATATAGTGACGCACACTTGACAATTCCGGATTTTTATCCGATTCTCTTTTGATTTCTCTTGGTGTCAAGGCTACCGGTGTACTTTCTTGTACCACAAGCCGTATCATCTCTTCCGTTTCTCTACTCAGATCCTTAGGCTTTGGTTGATTCAGCCTCGACAACGCGTCTGCGATATTCGTGTTACCAGGGCTGTAGACAACGTTATAATGATGGCACTGTAAACGGAGGACCCAACGCTCAATCCTTGCTGATGGCTTCGACGACTTCCCAAAAATGCATTGTAACAGTTTATGGTCTGTTTCCAATTCAAATTCACGACCGTACACATAAAGGTTAAATCTTTCGCATGCCCAGACAAGAGCCAATGCCTCTTTTTCAGTCTGGGCATAGCGTCTCTCCACTTCGGTCAGATTCCTTGAAGCATACGAAACCGCTCTCCACTCTTTCCCTTGCAGCTGCAGTAATACTGCGCCCAAACCTTCTGGACCTGCATCAGCTGCAATCCTGGTTTTACACTCGTTCTGAAAATAAGCAAGGGCTTTAGTTGTTGACATGAGCTGCTTGAGCTTCTCGAATGCTTTCTGTTGTTCAATCCCCCAAACAAAAGAGTGTCCCTTTCGCAGCAGCTTGCGTAACGGTTCGGCTTCTTTGGAAAAATTAGGTATAAACTTGCATGAATATTGTACAAGCTGAACAAATGACCGAACTTCAGAAATAAAAATATCACTTTTAATTACAAAATTATCAATTTACCAACATATATATGTTAGGTATGTTATTATACGTAATATAAGCTTCAATTTAAGGTAAAATTCAACCACAAACGCTTCGCAAAACGTTTTAAAGTGTTCTTTATAAAACTAACTAAACTGCGTTTATTAATTAAATGGCTTTATCAATAAACTTTGAGTTTGCAATAAAATGATTTCAAATTCTCGCATGCAAATTAGTTTGCTAACTTTTTTATTTAGAAAATTCAATATAATAAAAAAGGGAATCAATATTAAAGATACACTGAAATTATATACTGTCTTGTTTAGTTGTTTCATATACGCAAAGGCCGTCGGGTTTTAAAACCATTATAAAATCAATATTTAAAACAAACTTACCTTCGTTAACGTCGGGTCCCTTCTTTTAGGGACCGGTCATTATTTATGGCAGGGGTGGGGGCCGAAGAGAAAATGGTGGGGTAACTGAAAAATAATAGTTCTTTTAGGTGGGGTGGCCAAAAAATCCTTGCATGCAGAGGTGGGGTAAAAAAACATAACCTTACTTTAATCACACACAATACAATATATACTACTATCAGAATTTAATATGTGATTATTCTAATTTTTTAATAAAATATTATTGCTTTCCAAAATGCTGACAGAAACACCTCCCTCAACCCACCCATAAAGGGTTATTTTTATATTCATTTACACACAAAATCTCCAAAGACTCCAATTACCAGACAAAATATATACTGCCTATATATAGGGGCTGTTTATATGGTGCAACTGCAAGCCATCCCCAGGGTACCCAAGCTGGCCCAGTTTTGGCAAGAGCCTGCCTTTGTTGTTATTTCTTACTAAAGTTCACCTTGTGTATATATGGGTAAAGAGCGGGCCCAGCTATAGCTAAGCGAGATCCCGCCCCTTTAGCCCGAGATCTTGCTTCAGGAAAAGTGACCTTAAGTCTGTAGCCCCTACCCCCGGGCATCCAGCCTCACCCCCATATAAACATCCTCTTATTACATATCTCAAAAAGTATATGTACAGTCTATTAAATTTTCAGGATTTAATTTTTGGGCATCTACACTTGATACTGCATAACTATTATTTATATCCAGTATGTGCTTGTAAACCATGTGGACAATTCAGGTAGCAATTAAGTCATGAAATATGCCCCATGCCCCTTGTGAATCTGGAGAATCATTCCAATGGCTAGTTCACAATATGTTCATCTCTAGCCTTTGGCAACTAGCTGTTTTTCTTTACTAGAATAAGATAAAATAAGAGAAATCTATTTACCCGTTTTACAGATTAATTTAATTGTTTATATAATCATACTTGGAATTCGGATGAATATCTTTATCTTCACACTGTATAACAGCAACTTTTTCTCATTAATTTACAGTAACTTTCTAAAGATATTCTCACATGGGACAAATACTTTAGTATCGTTTACGAATTAAAATATTAAATTGATTTCATAAACTTCAAGAATTCCTTGGGAATTCTTAAGGAATTCCTTTAAAATTCCGTGATAATACATGTGATTGTCTATAGTAAGGAAATATTAAAGGAATTTCAGAGGAAATTTTAGAATTTAGATTATACAATTACTTTATGGTTTCCGTGTTTGGATGGCCTGATCCAAACACGCAGGAATGTTGCGAGAGTTAAGAAAAGCACGCGAAACACGAGCCGAAGGCGAGTGATTTTGCGCGCTTTTCTTAACTCGAGCAACATTCCCAAGTGTTTGGATCAGGCCATCCTAACAGGGAAACCATAAAGTAATTGTTTTATAAAATAATAACAACACGATAGTCTTCCGTGTTTGGATGGGCTGATCCAAACACGGGTTTCGACCAATCAGAGCACGCGTTATATACATGTTATTTTATAAAGTTGCAATCATGGGTGAGCACATATTTTGTGAAACTGTTTCAAAATAAAATTGCATTTTAATTAATAAAAAAATGCAAGAATGTGAAAGAAACCAAATTATATACAGTGAAACTTTAAAGTGGGAAAGAGATAGGGTGGTGAAATACGGTTAGTGTTCTAAAATATTGAAGCATATGGACTGGTTAATATATGTTTATGCATGGGACTAGCATATTGCTGAATACCAACTATAAAAACCCATTCATATTTAAATTTTACAAGTAGACAAATTTTAAGCCTTCAGATAACTATAATTCTTTATATAGTACCTTGCTATTGTAGGGCTAACCCATAATATAAAGGCATGACTGTTGTGTGCTTTAATTACTCCACAAGAAATAAGGGGCAAGGGATATTGGTAAACAAGTATTACCAATCAATCCTATTCCCTTTTAATTATAATGTCCACTGTGGTCAAAGCACCCTATAATAATTATTATTTACTCTCTAACAGCAGATGATCTTACTCATCAAGGACAATTTTGTACCTTGATGAGTAATACGCATGCAAAATACTAAACTGTTTCATTACATATTTTATGTCTGAACCTTTGACATTGCAACAAAATAGGTTTGGGTGGGGTAAAAAAATTTTCTGGCATTCCACCGGTGGGGTAGCTAGAAACTTTGTTTCGAAAAAGGTGGGGTAATGATTTTTTCCGGCTTCATTATACTTTCTCTTCGGCCCCAACCCCTGCCATAAATAATGACCAGTCCCTTAGCCGATTCTTTTGGGGGTTTCTTTCTGAGAGAGCTTTTGAAATTTACAAAATTTTGCGCAAATGCGAGCAAAAATGAAATATATTTGAAATTTATCAATCATCAAATCAAGAAATGTTTGCTATTTCGCTGTCGTCATGCAGTCGTTATAATGCAAACTTTAAATTGGACCAATCAGTGTTCGCTATTCATGACAGTCACGTCCGCTACATATTTTGAGATCAGTGAGGATGACCACCAACCGAAACATCGTTGGTGAGCCACGCCCGCGATATTTGGTGAACTTTAGACATCGCTAATGCTTTCGTTTCCCCTGGTGTAAATAGCCGGGGGGAATTAGTACCCTCGCACGGCGCTTCGCGCCGTCGGCTTGGGGATAATAATTTAACCGAGCTGGCCTTCCTAGGTTAGATCATGAAAAATAAAAATATATTTACCTATATTATACTATTTATAGCGGTAAGACCAATAATTTGTTTTGGCAAGACAGACTACCTCAAAAGTCTCATGTAAACATGGGATAAAATCAGCTCAGCAAATAGAGCTAGCTTGGGTACCTGTATGGGCTGGCTCACCTCCATATAAACAACACCCCATTATAAGATTTAAAAGTTAAAATTGTCGCTAAGACCGCCACGATGATTTTTTGTTTTTTCTTCCTCGGCCATTTCAACATACCCAACAATATTTGCATCTGTCTTGAAAATGAAACTGTTCTTTGACAATTTTCTTTGATTTTCCCTGCCTCTTCGACAGAAATATAGGTTTATGTTGAACCAATTCACTCTTAATAACGATAGAGGGGAGTAGTCTCCAAAAATACCACTCTCGTAACATTTTTGTATGTCCTCAGGCGGGATAATCGAGTGATGCTTCACTTTGGAGAACCACATTCCTTGATTTTCTTTAGCTTCGCATTCAAGGATTTGTTTGCTGTCTTGAAAATGGGATCACTTATGGTTGGACAAGTTTTTCCTACTCTTTCTGAAGTTAAATATCGGTTTATTCCCGCTTTTATAGCGACAATAGCTGAACGGCTGTATTCTCTTCCGTCGTCTTGTTTTAGTTCTTAATAAAACCTTGTTAGTCGTTCTGCTAGTATTTCATTGCTTAAATTTTCCAGCTCTTCGAAAGGATGTCTCAAGTGCGACCATTCTTCAGTAGAGGGGAAAGGAATGATAAGTACATTTTAAAATACTATAAAAACAAGACAAGGAATTCAACAACAAGCAAAAAATTGGACTTTTCAAGCACTTGTTTAATACACGGAAAAATGGCGAATAATATAAGTTTTTGCATGGTTTACTGACCTCTGAAGATAGCAATGCTCCAGCTTGTTTCTCTTTTCGTACTTTTAAGTATTGTATCCTCTATAATCTGATTAATGTCTTCCTCATCGACTCGAACAAACCTTGAGCCGGCAGCCTCGCTGGCAGCCATTTTCAATAATGCACATTTTTTGTGCGTTATTGTCAATAACGCATTCGCAGGATGCTTGGTTGCCAGGTAATAAAAACACACGTGATCGATTTTGACCAATGACGTGCGTCCATTTGAACAGTGAACAAAGATTATATATTAAACCCAGGCAATGGCCGCTGAAACCATCATTCTTCGCGGGCATTAAGCCTTGCGACGTCATTTTATGCACAAGGTCTATTGTTACCTACATCCCATTTAAAATTTTAGTTTCCAATTACTCAGTATACTGTGTACATATACCAGTACTAAAGGAATACCGAATGGTTTTCCGTGCAGGATTGCGTGATCCATGCACGCAGGATGTTGCGAGACTTTCGGAAAGCGCAAAAATACACGAGCCGTAGGCGAGTGTATTTTTACGCTTTCCGAAAGTCGAGCAACATCCCAAGTGCATGGATCATGCTATCCTGCACGGGAAAACCATTTGGTAATTGTTTTATAAAATTACTACACTGTAACGACGCTTAACTTGATTAAAATTACTGATGAAATGTGCAGTTCTCACAACATTCGTGAATTAACCAATCAGAGAATCGCTACTCCACGCTATTGAAGACAACAACATATGTGAACAGTTTTTGATCGCAAATTCGCGAAAATATACCGCGAAAATACAGGAACTTTTTCGATAAAATACACGAAATTTGACGGGGAAAATCCGCTAAACAGAGAGCCAAAGTAGTTTTCAAGATTCTCGACCTGAATATGTGAAGATTGTGAAGCGTTTGATCAACTTTGAAGCGAAAGATGTTGAACTTGCATGCCATGTTCTGATGCTTACGCGTTGCTACTTGCTGAATAGCAATGTATCGATCAGAAATTTATTCATACAACTAAACCAACGTCTCAATAATTGGAAACTTACTTCAAAGTCGAAAGGTATCGTACAATGAAACTTTACAATGAGAGTATATTCGTAAAATTATGTGCAAGAATTTCTGTTCAGAATTTCCCGTGCAGGATTGTCTGATCCTGCACGGCTGTTGACCAATCAAATTGCGTGTTTCACTGTAGTTATTATATAA